CCGGCCAGAGACCTGATTTCTGACCCTCTCGACTCTCAGTGTTTCATATTGGTTGATCCCCACAACCCGGGCTCATCTTTCAGCCTCTCTTTTTTGGCTTAGGTTTTACCGCCGCTATCTCCATCCACCCTCTCTCTGTCCTTAGCTTGCAGTTCAGATTGCCCCATAGCCCTGCACTCTGTCCAGGCTCATACCACTTCCAGACTTCTCTTCCCGCTTGACTTCTGCCTGATGTGTCCTTCTCAATCTGATTGCTTCTCTCTCCTTGACCCCAAGATCAAGTTTCTTGAACTTCAGGTTTCAAGTCTTGACTTACATTCTCTGAGACTTGTTTTTACATTAGGAATCCCAGGTGTGAGGGGTTTCTAGGACTGGTTCCCAGATAGTCTCTTTGATCTTCCTTGTAGGTCGTCAAAGCTTCACCTTTCTCCAAAGGCAGATGTGAAGAGTTTGATCTCTTACGTTGTGACCAAGACAAAAGCGATTAATGGGAAATACCATCGTTTCTTGAATCGTCATTTCCCCCGCTTCTATATCCTGTACACAACCTTCATGAAAGGTAAAAACAAAGTTAAAATAGAAATAACCGAATCAGCTCTTGGGCAATGTCAGAGAGTTGGAGTAAGTAAAATCATTTACAAGTTCTGCTAAGGGGGTGTGAGCTGGGATATCTTCTGTTTCATAAATGTTTGAGCATTAAACTAATTCTTATAAATTAGCACTTCTTAAGAATATTTCTAGAGGGGCTAGGGTTTTGGCTCAATGGTACAGCGCTCTCCTAGTGTGTGCCAGGCTCTGGGTTCAATCTTCAGCACCACATAAAAATAAATAAATAAAATATATTGTGTCCAACTATAACTTAAAAAATATTTTTAAAAAAGAATGTTTCTAGAAAGATGTTTTGAGAGACAACCTCTGACAACACAGGAGGTAGAAGAATTAAAGTATATTCTTGTGCTTTTCTTAACCACAGTTTTTGCTATAGTAGAAATTCCTTGTCTCTCATAAGGACAGGGATTTATGGCTGTACAGACTTTCCCAATGATTTATCCCTTGTCATGGCCCATAAGAAAATGTGGCCTAACTGGGCATGGTATCGGATGCCTGTAATCCCGCTACTGGGGAGGCTGAGGTAGGAGCATCACAAGCTCAAGGCCAGCCTGGGAAATTTAGCAAGGCCCTATCTCAAAATAAAAAGGGCTGGGGATGTAATTCAGTGATAGAGCTCTTCTTGGTTTGATCCCCAAATTTCTTTCATACTGCAAAAGTATGAAAGAAAAGAAAAAAGAAATTGTGATCTAATTCTTGTTAAATCTATAGGTAGCAGTTGCCTAGAAAAGGCACTATGTATACTTGGTTTCATCTTTTTTTCCCCTTTATTTATTTATTTAGTATTTTTGAGATGTAGTCTTGTGGTGTTGACCTGTCTGGGCTTGAATTTGTGATCCTCTAGCTTCAGCCTCCTGAGGAGCTGGGGTTACCATAGCCAGCCTTTCCTTTTTTTTTTTTGTGGTACTGGGGATTGAACCCAAGGGTATTTTACTACTGAGCTACATCGCTAGTCCTTTTTACTTTGTATTTTGAGACAGGGTCTTACTAAGTTGCTGGGCGGGGAGGTCTTGCTAAATTGTTGAAGCTCACCTTGAACTTGGATCTAGACATTCATCACTGTGCTTGGCTGATTTTTTTAATGCTAGTTACTAAGAAATTATATGTATGCATATATGCATATATATGCATATGTATATAATTTCATATATATGTGTTTGTGTGTGTGTGTATGCTGAGTACACTGGCTCATGCGTGTAATCTCAGTGACTCAGGAGGCCGAGGTAGGATTGCAAGTTCAAGACCAATCTGGGATATATATATATTCAAAAGTCCAATCTTGAGCCAGATTGCCTTACTTAAATCCCTTGTCACTACTGGCCATCAGAGTAGACTAGTGATAGACTAGTGATTCAACTTCTCTATCCCTTCTCATCTATAAAATGAGAATAATAGGACCTACTTATTGCCCTTATAGTTGTGAAGATTAACTAAATCAACACAAATAAAGTACTTGGAACAGTTCTTAATCTCTAGAAAGAGCCCAGTATTAGCTATTAATATTATACTCTGTACTTTTATCATAATACCAATTATAAACTACCACATTGTTAGAACTGAATATTATCATAATTATTGCAGCTTCACAGACCTGAAAAATCACCTATTATTAGCTGGGTGTAATGGTACACACCTGTAATTCCAGCTACTTGGGAGACTGAGGCATGAGGATTGCAAGTTCAAAGGCCAACTTGGGCAATTTAGTGAGACCCTGTCTCAAAATAAAATTGTAAAAAAGGTTGGGAATATAGCTTAGCTTGCCCACCATGTTCAAGGCTCTGGGTTCAATTCCCCAGTACTGGGGGGGGGGGAGAGAGAAAAACAACCTATCCTTAACTATAAAGTGGAGATAAAAATGGCTGCCTTGTCTGATTGAAAAAAACAGTCCGAAGGTATTTTGTTTTAAAACCTTCTATTATGGAAATCTTATGACATACTCAGAAGTAGAGAGAATAATATAATTAACTTCCCTGTACTCAACCTCACTTCGGCAATTACCTACTCATGGCTTGGTTGATAGTTGGTAATAAGATTTCTTATTGCTTTTTATATTATTTTGTAGCTAATAGAGATATCATTTCAATTGTAAATATGAAACCATTTAAAAAATTAGTCATATATAAATATAAGAATTTTCATAAATTGAAGATATAAAATACAAACATAGAAATATGTTGAATTACATAACTTATAAAAGTCTTCCAGAGGGGCTGGGGTTGTGGCTCAGTGGAAGAGCGCTCGCCTGGAATGTGTGGGGCCCTGGGTTCGATCCTCAGCACCACATAAAAATAAATAAACGAAATAGAGGTATTGGGTCCAACTACAACTAAAAAATAATAAAATATTTTTAAAAAAAGTGTTCCAGAAAGGAGATAAGTTAATAACTGGCAGGGAATACATAGGGTTAATTGAGGAAGACTTCCTGAGATAACTGAGCTAGATTTTTAAAAAAGAGCAAGTAATGAACCTAAAGAGGGAGAGCATTCCATAGCAGATCACATTAACCCAACCAACTTAGCTGGATGAGAGGTGGTGTGCTGGGAGAAAAAGGATGGGTTGGCCTCAAAAGAGTTTCAAGTTACCTAGTTTAAAGCTTTTATATAGAGTAGTGTTGGGTGGGCAATTGTATGTGCATGTGTGAATGAAAGTAGAGGGGGATGCGGTGGAAGATTCAATCTTGGATAACATCACACTTTGTCCTCTACTTTAATGAGGCAGGATTTCAGATGTTATGGGCTGATGCCAAAAAGGCTAGAAGAATAAAGACAAATATGTGGAAGCACAATATAAAGTTTCATCAACTTTCATACCGGGAGATGGAGCATTTGAGACAGGTATGGGCCAAGGGCAGATACCCAGAAATTCATGGTGAGGTAATTACAATTAACCAAGATCTCAAGTATTTTTTTTTCTTTCCTTGTTCACCACTGATCAAGCCTCTCCACTTTGCTGTGAAATCAAGTATTCAACTCAATGAGAGTATCTGATGTTTCACCAGAATTGGGTTCTTTCAGAATTACAGCTCTCCTTAACAGAGCTCCATAGAGTGTCTGTCACACTTTTGAATAAAGTTTGTAGGCAATAAAATCCAGCTTGTTTCTAAATATATGAGAATCTTCAAGGATCCATAGGGAAGCAGGAAAGTATAAGTAGTAACTTGATGGGCAGTGTTGAAGCTGAGAGTAAGAATCTAGGACCCATTATGCAGATCAGGAAACATTCACTGAGGGATTTGATATAATGTACTAGATATTATTTGGTAAGCAGAAGTGAACAAATTAGAGGCTTTGTGCTCAAGGAATTTACCATCTAGAAGTAGATAAAAATAAACTTGGTAATTTTACTGGGCTGTAATAGAAGTTTACTGCAGAAAAGGATGGAAGGGATTGTCCATTATATTAAAAACTTACTTGGGTTAAAACTACATCTGTTTATTTCTGTCTAGTTCCGCCGAGACATTGCCAAGTGTCTTTTCCTAGGTATCATTTCCATTCCACCCTTTGCCAACTACCTGGTCTTCTTGCTAATGTGAGTACATGCTTGTATATCCCCAGCATCTTGAAGATATATAGATTTTTTTAATTAAAAATTATTTTAGGAAGAACTTCATTTCAGAAGTTAGGCAGAGGTTATCCAGCTTTCTGCTCCAATCTTCTCATTATCCCAGGGTTCTTAAAAGTCACTTAGTAATACATTGGTTATCAGGATGCATCACAGTGGTAGGTATAGGTGACTTAGCTGCCTTTCATCATGTGAAGTAAGATCATGATCTTCTCCATTATCCCTAAGAACAGTATCCCACTCCCTGAGAAGCATGTAAACTGGGCAATTTTTTTTTCTTCAGGAAAATAATGCATTTCATATTCTGATATCATTCTTTATTACTTTGTATCCTAAGATGATACTTCTAAACTGTTACCTTTCATGTTCTAATTACTGTTTCTGAATAGTAAACAACATCAGAGCTTAATAGCTTAAAACCACCCCATTTTCATGATTTTGTGGGTCAAGAATTTGGGAAGGACTCGGGTAGGTGATTGACTTTTCCCATGCATGTGGCGTTGACATCATCTCCTCAGTGATTTTTAGCTACTGAATGTACTAGTTTGGAGGATCCAGGGTTATTCTTTTTTTAATGTGTGGGGAGGGGGTAGCAGGGATTGAACCCAGTAGTGTTTAACCATCAAGCCATATCTTCAGCCCTTTTTATTTTTTATTTTGAGATGGGGTCTTGCTAAGTTGCTTAGGGCCTCACTAAGTTGCTGAGTCAGGCTTTGAACTCAGTATCCTCCTGGCTCAGCTTCCCAAACTGCTGGGATTATTGGTGTGCACCACCATACTTGGTGGCTGCATGACGACCTTGAATAACCTGGTCTTGGAGTTCATAGACTCTTGCTCTATTTTGTTGGCTGAATCAGTTACCCAGATTGAACAAAGGCGACATAAACTTTATTTCTCCATAGAGAAATGCCAGAGAATTTGTGGCTATGTTTTAAAACTACCACACAGCTGGACATGGTGCCACATATCTGTAATCCCAGTGATTCTAGCTGCTGAGGCAGGAGGATAGCAAGTTCAAGGCCAGCCTCAGCAAGTTAGTGAGATGCTGCCTCAAAATAAAATTTTAAAAAGGGCTGGGGCTGTAACTCAGAGATAGGACACTCCTAGGTTTGATCCCTACTACTGCAAAATAAACAAATAAATAAAATTTTAAATAAATAAATAAATCTACCACACATGTGGAAAAGTGAACTTATCCATAAATTTATTACCTTTTTCCATGTGATTAGTAGGTTGTCAACATTACATACAGTGTCCAGCTCTGTCTACAACTCTGTCCAAAACATGTTTGTTACATGTTTAGTTCAAAAGGAGTCATTTTATCTGATTGCTGCATGCTGGGCTATTCTACTACTGCTTCCTTTCATATCATATTTCAGTAATGTTGCTTGAAATTGTGCTTCAGTATATCTTTAAACTTTGAGCTTGAGACTCACTTAAGAACATTGAGGTAGATAGTGTCTCCACTCTTCTTGCTAGCATCCATGTCTGCCAAATGCTTTCTTAGCTTTCTTTGAAAGATGTTAGTGTCAGCAAGTAACTTTGTGATTCTTTTTCTTTTCAGGTACCTATTTCCAAGGCAACTACTGATTAAATATTTCTGGACCCCAAAACAACAAACTGATTTCTTAGATATCTATCATGGTCTCCGGAAGCAGTCCCACTCAGAAATCCTTAGTAATTTAGAGAGGGTCATTCCTCTCATTTCTGATCCAGGACTTCGGTGGCATTTGACAGACCTGTGCACTAAGGTATTCTTCCAATTAACCCTTCCTGCAAACTAGGAGTCTTGTTAGAGCCAGTGTACTCTAAAATTAGGTATGGACGCTACTCAGGACCCTCTTAACATCTCCCAATCTTACCTCTCCCAAGATACAGAATGGTACCCACCCAGCTGTACATGAAATCCTGGCTCTCAGAGAGTGTTTCTGTAACCATCCTCTGGGCATGAACCAGCTCCAGACTTTGCAGATGGTAAGCACTTTAAAGACTTCTTTTTTCCCCCAGCCTCATGTTATTTCAGGTTTTTGAGTGATACTATTTGATTTTTTCCTCCTCTCCTGCCGTATCACAGAAAGCCTTGAGCCGGGCCATGCTTCTCACACCTCACCTGCCTCCTCCCTTTTTGAGGCATCGTTTGAAGACTCATACCACTGTTATTCACCAGCTGGACAGGGCTTTGGCAAAGCTGGGGATTGGCCAGTTGACTGCTCAGGAAGTAAAATCGGTAAGGGCTTGATTGCAACATCAAGCAATATCCCATAGAAGGCTGGAAGCTTACAAGGACTCCTTGTCTTGCTAAGTCTTTATTCTCTCACCTTATTTCTGTGTCATTTTTCTCAATATACATAGCTATTAGGAAGGAACCACCCATAGTAGTTGTACTTCTGGTTCTTCAAACACCAAAGACACTATACTTTAGACTTCTGTTTTAGATTATAGTTAATCACCTTTCTGTTACTGTAATATACCTGAAATAACTAGTTTAAAAAAGAGGAAGGGTTTATTTTAGCTCATGGTTTGGGAGGTTTCAGTCCACACAGTTGGCCCATTGCTTTTGGGTCTGTGGTGAGGCTGCATATCAGGGCTGGGAGTGGATAGTGGAGCAAAGCTGCTCACCTCAAGGAATTGAAAGAGAGGTAGGAAGATGAAGAGGGATAGTGTCCCACAATGCCAGTAGGCCCTATTTTTTGAAGTTTCACCACCTCCCCTTAGCACCAAATAGGGAACTAAGCCTTTAATAGATGGGCCTTTGCGGCCTCTTTGCTTGTCCTCTATCACTAGTTCTATCTGCCATGGTGAAAGGTCTCTTATGGAATGAGGTTGTAACTTATTTAAAGAAGATTTAGGATTATTATTATTATTTTAAAAAATATTTTTTTGTTGTAGTCGGACACAATACCTTTATTTATTTTTATGTGGTGCTGAGGATCGAACCCAGGGCCTCGCACATGCTAAGCAAGTGCTCTAACGCTGAGCCACAACCCCAGCCCCAGATTTAGGATTATTTGTGGATTTCATTTCCTTGGCATACTCATTGTGTGATTATTAAGGATGATTTCTCTTCTGAGTGGAATAGGCTTGTTATCTTCGTGGCCTGAATTCTACTCATATTGCAGAAGACAGGTGTCGAACTTGGCTGGGAGAATGGCTACAAATTTCCTGCAGCTTGAAAGGTAAAACAGCTTCCATGCTTATATTATTGAAATCCAAGTCATTTTTGTATTTAATTCTGAGATAATTTTGGATTTAATTATTAAATAATCTTAAGATCTTTATCTAACATTTATATCTAATTGAAAGGGCAGAAACTCACATGCCTACCCCATGCTTAGGCAGGTAACTAGACTGATGAGAGGGAGTGGTAGGACAAGAGGGAGTGCATGCTAATCTGAAGCAGAATTTATCAGCCTTGGCACTATTGATTTTTGAGGGGGTCTATGTGCATTAAAGGATGTTTACCAATATTACTGACCTTTGCCCAGTAGATGCCAGTAGTACCCTTCATCACCAATTGTGACAACCCAAAATATCTCCAGACATTGCCAAATGTTTCTGGGGTTGGGGGTCCAGCAGAAAGGGGCAGAGTTGTCCCAGTTAAGAAGCACTGATCTAAAGGCATTGAATTGAAAACAATAGAAAAGTACTCTACTAGCTAAACAGAAAGTATCTGAGGGCGAGTATCAGGCGTATCAGTCTTCTGTTCAGAACTTTTGCACAGGTTTTGATGTTTTCTAGGCCTTTGCATGTCAGGGTAGGTATACTAATCTTGAAGCTGAGAAATGCCCTAGAGTGCCCATTTCTACCAGGAGAATCCCAAGGTAACAGTAGTGCTGAGTACCATTGCCACTTCTGAATTGTCTACTGTCATCACATGAATCAAGACATAGAAGATGAGTTAACATGAATATATAGTGGAAGCGAAGGAAAGCATTTGTACAGGGGCTGGAATGAAGCAAGAGAAATTTGAGAACCATCACCTCTGATTCCCCTTACTTGGCTTCCTGCTTCCAGTTTCAAGTCCTATAAACTGAGGCAAGAAGGTAGATAGTCCTCTAGCCAAACCACTAACATTGATGGTATTTCCAGAAGCTGAGCTGTCCCTCTTGCTGCACAACGTGGTCCTGCTTTCCACCAACTACCTTGGGACAAGGCGCTGAGAGAACTGTGGAGTGGATGGCAATGTCCTGCAGTCGCGTAGCATAGCAGTGTGGGACCAAACAGCACTTGTCAGCAGAGTCTGTGCACTCCTCAGGTGTGTGGGAGGCAGAGGAGTGGGTGCAATGGGCTACACAGCACACTACCCATGAGGGAACTGCAGACATTCCCCTTACAGCTTGAACTAAAACAAACCCTCTTTTCAGGGATGGCCCATGTGAAGTGTCCTCCTATCTTCACAGTAAGCTGGAGCTGGCAGCAACCTCTTAACTAGTCTTTTCCTGTGTGTGTTATGGTCAGGTCCTATAGTCAGTTATTGCCCCCCGGTGGGAATCATTTGGCCTAAGATTCATCAACTGCCATGTTCTCTACAGTTGTATTCTAAAGAATTTCTGATTGGCACTTGGTGTGGTGGCATACGCCTCCCCGTGGCTTGGGAGCTGAGGCAGGAGGATCACAAGTTCAAGACCAGCCTCAACAAGTTAGCAAGAACTTGTCTCAAAAAATGAAAAGGGATGGGAATTTGGCTCAGTGGGTAAATGCCCCTGGGTTCAATCCCTGGTACCAAAAAAAAAAAAAAGAAGAAAAAAAATTTCTGGCTGGCAAGAACAACACTGCTTAATCTGGAGCATTTACATAAATGTATATCTTTCAATGTGCTCTTCCATCCGGATATGACCCAAAAGAGGGATTTTTGTTTTTCTTTCTCACTGGCATGAGCTAACCACTTCCTTTCCTTTTAAAATCCTTTGAATACCTTAAAAATTTTTTTTTTCAAGTATTAACTTATGGGAACATTGTAAAGGAAAAGATTAAAAGGAAGTACCATCTAATCCCTTCCCTAGTGTTTACAGCCTTCATCCCCCATTGTCTTAATTTCTGGGCTGTCATACAGCCCGTAAAGATCTTAAACTCTTTGCTACCTCCACTGTGTTGCAGCAATCCAACTGTAACCAACAGTGGCTGCCTTCTTTGGGCCATGGGTCAAAACCCATAAGGTACTAATTACTGCCCAGCCCTGGGAGACCAGGAAGATCTGCATCAAGATAGTAAGTTGGGTTTAGCTTTTGTGTGTACATTCTTGACCTATAGTTCTGTAATAACTTATTGTAAATGCATGGAGCACTGTTTTAAACCCAAGTAAAGACTGCCTGAAATCAGTTGATGGAAATTACTTATGCACACTCTAATCATTTTGCTAAGGCTCCTTTTCCAAGACTGACATAACCTAACTAATGGGGATTTAATTGGTTCTTACAGATCCTTCTGACAGAAGTTTTAAAGGAACTGATTTTAAGTTGATCTTTGGGTGGATATTTTAAGGTGGTAACCAGGAAAAGAGAAAATGGGAATACAGTCAGCGTGAAGGTCTAACAAGGCAGAAGCAAAGCCTGCTTCAGTTGAAGAGGTGCGTAAGAGCACCTGAGGCAAGATAGGCTGAAGAGAACATTCTACATTTCTATCACAAAGTGTTTCTTTTGTTAACCTTAATTCCTAACTGACCTAATTAGTTTCATAGAAAAAGATGCTTCTCCAGCTTTGTATAACAAGTAACTAAATTGTGGCTGGCCAAGATAAAGAATAACACACCATTCTTTTGAATATTTCTTTAATATTACATTTAAATATTCTCTTTAAATACAGCATTATCACAATGTAAAGAACCTAAAGAGGGAAAATTGTTTTCAGAGAACCAGACGAGCTTTGGATTCACATTGAAAATACTACCTGTATACAGTATGTGAGAAAGGAAACTGGAAAATAAGAATTATGTTAATAAGAATCATTTTTTTTTTTAATCAAGGCCAAGACTAAGTGGGATTGAAGCAATCTGCTTCTATGATCAGAGGCCTAGCTCTCCTAGCAACCATGAGCTTTAATTTTGTCCAACTCGGGTAGCACCAGAAGTGAGATGGACTAGGCTGTAGAAAAGGCCCTTTGCTTGACAACAGTTAATGCTAAATGTTAATATTTAGCATTCAGAAGTTTGGGGTCAGCATGAATCAGAATTGTAGAGTTAATGAAGGGATGGACTTAGATTAAGAAACTAGAGTTTTGTAGAAATATCATGTATCTTACCTTATGGATTGGCAATGAGTTTAATAATAACAAATTTAAATTCATTTGATCCCAAAGGCTAATGTATTTCTTAGCAAGCTGTTGGAATCCACTTCCTAAATTAAGTGGGAGGCTTCCTACAGAGGGAGTGTATAGAGCTCTCCCTCTCCTAACAAACTTGAGAAAATATTTTTTTCCATAGAACTAAAATCCCAAGTAAGCTTCAGTCTTATGTTCCATGGTTCCAGTCTAAGGTGGGGGAGTGCAGCTCAGTTTGGAAAAGCATCTATTTCATATAGATTGAAGGTACTTAAGACTCAATTATTTTGTGAGGCTGGGTGATGGGGAGAGATATGGACCTATGTAACTTAAGACCTTCCCTCCAAACATAAAACCAAGCAAAAACAGGAATGAACAGGAAAGGCGGAATGGGTTAAAATATTTATCTGTATTAAATAAATACAAGGCCCTCAGGCTTAGATTTTATAAGTGAAATGCTGCTGCCACATACCTGAAGGCTGCTTTAACGTACCAGGGCCTGGCTATCCCCCAAGAAAAGGCTTTATGAGCAAGATAAGTAAGAATAATTATCTCTTCCACTCTCCCTACCCACCAGAAGTGTTTTTTAACTGGTTAATAAATCATACCAGATGTGAAGTATGGTGTTAAAGATGCTAAAGAATAGTGTTTTGCTCCCTACCATTTTCATTTTAAAACAGAGGCAAAGGTCACTTTGCCTATAAAATAAATCAGTGTTGTTCATGGAGCAGATCTTGATTGAAACATAAACATAAAAGGAACAGGAACCATTGACAGAGGTAAGAACTGAATTTGAGTCCCATTTTATACATTTCAAAGGTTACAATCAGATCTTAATCCTTTGGAACCTGGAAATTCTACGTGGCATCTAAGAATTGGTAGATTCCAATTTTATATCTCATCAAGCAGCAATAAACATTTGCAATTCTTGGGGTTGAACTGGAGTAGTATAAGAACTGTGTAACCCTGTATATCAAAGAAGGACCATGAGTGTGCATACACAAAAAAAGAACAAAAACTAGTCGGTGACCTTAAATTGCCACGTCTTACATTACATTTAAAGCTCAGATCTCCCAAAGAGGGGGGAAAAAACCTGTGTGAAAAAGTAGGCATGACACAAATAAAGTCATCTTTCCAGACAGCAGGTTGTTCCTGCAGCCTCCTTTGGATATAGTTAATGTTCCATATAGGCTTCCTAGGGGATGGGTGAGCCCAGCCAGAAACTGCCCAACAGAGCTCATGTTAAGACGATGGCAGAAGCCTCAGGCTCTTTATACCACATCCCCAGCCAATCTCACTTTTTCTTCAAAGGAAAAAGGATGGAGGAAAAAAAGACAAGTTTAACTCTAGTATCTAAGAACGTGTGAAAGAAACAATTCAAGTTACAGACCAAGAATCCCCAGTATGGGGAGCAGGTCAGGGAACACCAAACATGTCAAATATTAACTTATTTATCAAATAGGGGATCGGGGGAAGGTATGGTAAATTTTTAGAAATCCTGGAGGTTTTGTACAGAAACAGAGACCTTTCTGCCTCTCCTCACTAGATCCAACCAGGTGGCCTTTCCAATAGTATGATTGGATATACCAAAATGGGTATCAGAGCAACCACTGAGAAATAAGCTTTCACTCTGCCTGGAGCCCAGGAGAGCAGGGACTTTTTGCCCTGTGTACAGATTCTCGTGTTCTGGTCCCTACATAAATAGCTGCTTGAATTACCCAGATCCTCCTGTGAGGTCCTACGGCTTTGTTCCAATGGCCCAGAAAGCTCAGTGTTCAGCACTGTGCAGCTTCCTCTAACCTATCCCCACATCAAGCTGGGGCTGGTTTCCTTGGTACTGTTTCCCTTTCAAAAAATACTTGTACAAACAATCCTTTCCCACCCATTTCCCACAGACCCCAATAAAATAACATGGGAGCAGCAGCTGCTTCTACAGTTTTGTTTTGAAATGGCATTAGATAAAATAAGGGAATAAATAGAGAATGGGTGCGAGGCAGTATCTCCACCCCCACATCACACTGCTAGAGGGAGTTCTAGGGCAGACTCTTCAGGGGGTCGGTCCTCATTCTGCTGGGAGGTCTTCTCCACCCCACAGCCTTCTTCAGTGTCCGTGTGGAAAGGGAGGCTTGAGGGGGACCAAGAGGAGCGGAAGTCTTCATTCTCGGGCTCCTCAGAGTTACAATCTTCGGGCAATAGCGCTTCTAGAGTGGGTGTTTTCCCCACCTCTGATTTACAGAGGGCATCTGGGTCTGAGGGGCTGCAAGCCACCAGTGAGGTAACAGGGAGAGAGAAGACATTCAGATCCTTCTCCTTAGGGAAAGAAGCTGTGCTTTCTTCTGTACCAGGCTCTCCTTTCACTCCCAAGACTGGCCTCTGTTCCACCTGGTAGTAGACCAGGGGCCCGCTGTTCAAGTAGGATGGGCTGTTCACCGTGGAAGCAGACGGGTGGTCTGAGTTCTCAGCAAAACACAGGACAGAGGAGCCTGGGGGCAGCTGAGCCTGAATGAGAATGGGGGCTGAGAGACCTGGGCACAGCTCTTCAGGAACGGCCAGGGGCTCCTCCAGGATGCACACACCCAGGCTCTCAATGCTCGAGTCCAGGCTGGCGCTGGAGCCGCTAGAGTCTTCCTCAGCCTTGAGCCGCTCCAGTTCCTCTGCGCTCTGCAGGTGCATCACTGCTGTTTCATTCTCCGCGATGAACTCTTGGAAGTCCTGTGTCTCAGAGCCCTGGGCTCCTGTCAGGCTGCAACTGGCAGTGGGTGAGGGCTCCTCCTCTGGGGCTGCCGGGCGGCTCACCTGCCGCTTGCTCTCTAGCTCCAGCTTCATGATGGTATGGAGGTAATGAGTCCGGACTCGGATTGGATTAAATTCAATGCGCCCAGCCATGTTCCCACAGCCATCCCTGGAGCAGCCACACGGAAAGGACATGCGATCCACCTGAGGGGGACACAAGGAGGATGAGGCAAGAATCTAACAGTGAAGATAGGAGACATTAGCTGGCAAACACAGGCAGTTGGGATTTGAGGTCTTCCTACGAGAAGCAAGCAATTCAAAACCTGCAGCACAAGCTGACAGCACTAGATGGCGGTTACCAGACCACTTGTGCTTGCATTCCAGCTCAGTTATTAATTAGTGGTATGACCTGGACTCATGTATTTCCCCCTAGGGCTTTGTTTCCTCTTCTGAATAAAAAGTGACAAAAACCATATCAAAGGCTCCTTTTGGTTAGAGAATGCAGAAATACCCGAGTGCTGACTGGTCTCAGTAGAAATTTATGTATCTAGGGACTTCCAGAATTTACCTGGTCTTCTGCAATGACAAACATGAGAAAGTGAGTGGAGGATCTTACTAAAACAAAGCAATACCTTCTGGGAAACTAAAACAAAGGTGCCTTAGTTTGCTAAGGTGCTAGAATGAAGGTTCAAGCAATGGCCAGCTGTTTATTATCATTTCACTCATTTTTCCTGGGGATTGACCAATTTAGTTCTGAAGCATCAACCAAGATAATTTACTTACAGACCAGGGCTATCTGGAAAAGAGATGCTTTCTATTTCCAGATTTTTCCTTCATATCCAAAAAGAAAAAACAAAGACAAAAAATTGCCAAAAAAATAAAACTAGAAACATGAGTAAACAAATATTCAATGTCTTCCTAATGGTATCAACTTAAAGAAATCTGCATACCAGGTCTGTCATCAGGTGTGTAACAGACTGATTCATTATGGGACTTTAGTCTGAAAAACAATTTATTGGCCAGATCTGCTACAACTATTTGTTACCTAGTTAAAAATCAGAAAGAAAAGGTTGGTTAGGAAAACACAACCAAAACCACTCAGCATCCATATGCTCAGAATACAACTTCCAGACAAATTTTTTTCTCTGGGCTATTTCTGCTATTTTTCCATTGAAATATATCTTTGCAACTGTTCCTTGTCACTTAGCTGATGTTACTTTTTAAAAAAATTTTTTTTGTTTTAGTTGTAGTTGGACACCATACTTTTATTTTATTTATTTTTATGCAGTGCTGAGGATCGAACCCAGCCCTTGCACGTGCTAGGCAAGTGCTCTACCACTAAGCCACAACCCCAGCCCGGCTGATGTTACTTTCTTACAGAAAACTAAGGATTTAAGCTCTACCAGCCTAGGCTTGATCCTGAATTAAAGGATCTCAAAGCCATTTTGGTTTTTACAAAATTGGAGTAGAGTGTTTGCAGATAGCATCTCTAGGCCCATCTCATTTCTCTGCTTCCTTTTATCTCAAGGAATCAGTCAGAAACAGTTATTAAATGGTAACCATACTAACCTCTGTTCTTTCCTTTGCTAACAGCTGCTTTTTATCACCTCTGAGGTATGAAACACAAAGATAATAGATACCTCCACAGCCTAAGAATCCTGTCATGCTTGTTTCCTTTGTTGGTGGAGGAGGGTTGTGGACTTGGAGTGTGTTCACAGCTAGGGGCTTCCATCCCTGGATGGGCAGCCACCCATCTTCCCTGGTACCCGCACCATACCCCATGACCTTGATAGATGCACTATCTCAGGCCAACTTTGACTGACCTGGCATTTAATCCCAGCCTGGCTACAGGCACATGCTTCTGGGTCACAATATAGTCGACAGTCACAACCACATTCTTCCCGAGATAGGCGGATGGCTCGAAGTTCTTGCTTCTCTTCAGCATCAATGCGGTGAACCCCAGAAGCCCTAAGCAGGGCCCGTCGCCTTTTGGTGGGAAGAGGCTGCAGGAAGAAGTAATCATCCACCTCCACATTTTCCACATCAATGTCTTCATCTGAAACATCATCCAGTGTCAAGCCATCAGCCTCTACCGACTCCACGGTCCCATTCTTGGTCAGCTGCAAGAGACAGGAAAGGTTAGCCTCTGAAGTATTAGCAACATAAGCCTCCTCACAGTAATCAGGATAGCAGTGTTCCCCTGAATTTCTGCACTAGGGGAAGATCTGTGTTATTCCACACAGCAGTCACTCTACAGGTGGCCTCTGAGCACTAGAAAAGTGGCAACTGACAAATCAAGTTTTTAATTTCAGTTAATTTTAAATTTAAATAGCCACATGTGGCTAGTAGGCACCATATTGAAAAGCAAAGGACAAGAGAATAAAACCAGAGCAGAAAGGCAGGAAATCTTTTGTGGCTCTAATATCACCCTGTCAACAAAAGGGACATCATCTTTCTGGGTTCAAGCTTCTCAGAAAACCACTGTCTCATCCTCCCTCCTAGAAGAAAATTTATTCCCAGAAACATTCCCTTCATTTCCATAATTCAGCTCACTTGCTTTTTTTTTTTTTTGGTATGGGGAATTAAAGCCAGAGGTGTTACCACTGAGCTCTATCCCCAGTCCTTTTTATTTTTTATTTTGAGACAGGGTATTGCTAAGTTGCTGAGGCTAAGTTTCCAATCTTCCTGCCTCAGCCTCCTGAGTCTCTGGGATTAGTGGTGTGTGTCACCACTTCCAGCTCAGCCCATTTGCCTTTTGACATGGGGAAAAAGGTATATCAATAGCTGGTTATTCCTAAGATTAACAAATAACCTTGTAAAACACCCTTCAATGTACACCTCATAGAACCTAAGACCACCTTCATAGGAAAAGGGTACCTTAAAGTATTAAAGTGTAATAGCAGCTAAAAGGTGTTTGCCAATGAACCTGAATCCTCACAGCATGAACCATTATTTGTGCATGCTCAAAAAAGCTTCATTTTATTGGTGGAAAATGAGCAAATTATCAACAGCAGTCAAAGAAAGCCCTCCCAGCCCAGGGTGCAAAAGAAATATATTCTTTTTCCTTTCTAATCCTTTTTTATTTGACTTCAAAGAAGAATTCCATGTCAGGTAGGATGGTATAAATAAAACCAAGTGTGCTATCTAAGGACAGAAATCTGAGTTTTCTGGGCTAAGAGGATAGAAGCCAAGAAATGGAATCTGTGGAAGGACAGATTGAAGACAATCTGTGGCTGAATGAGTTCTGCAAACTCACTAGAGAATCCAAGTAAAGAAAATGAGGCCTCA